TTCAGACTTCAGCACCTCTTAAAAAACAAACGCCACCCTAATAATTTGAGGTTCAGATGATACCCAATTGGAACTATATCCGATGGATGAAGTTCATCGGATATATTCCTTGTAAAACAAAGTAAACGAGAATATTTTTTTCTAAATATTTTATTGAATGCTACAAGTATTATTTTGTAGTTAATAACATATCTTTACTCTTTAGCCCAAGCTTGTTGGCCAAATAAAACAACAAAAAAGGGGAACCTACAAACTTATTAAGAGCATGTGCTTTTACAGCAAAATTATGTTTCTTTCACTTGCTTTTTCACAATTCGATGTGGCAAAGAAGCTCCTGCAAAAGATCTTCAAGAAACTCTATTATGGATACTCAAAGTCTACACCCCTTATTAAAACCGATGGAAAGAATATTGCATGTACGTAATACTAATACATATATATATATATATATATATATACACACACTTTTACATATATACATAGATATAAATTTGGCATCTTATTAGGTACTTTTTACCGCACTACTGTACTTCACGTACCGAATTTTTTAAGAAAAAACACATTGAACCTTCACATAAAAAAACCAAACTTCACATGATACACACGGAATCTTCACATAAAAAACATCGAAGCCTCACACCAAAAATATTAAACATTTACATGAAATAACAATGAACCTTTACATTGGATTAATAGGTCTCACAAAAAAATGGACGTCTTGCGTGCACAAAAAATTAAATCTTGAAAATATAAAGGTTGGTTTATCAACGGTAATTAGGTAAGAGTCATAAAATTGCATAATAGAATTGTTGGTAAACAACTTTTTGGTAAGATTTCTCAATCATAAAATGGCATAATAGAATCGATGGTAAACAACTTTACCTGAATAAGAATCGTCATCCTCACTTACCAGATAAGATTTTCAATCTTTTTTATAGTAATCCGAGAAGATAAATAAGAAAGTAATGCGTAAACAAAGACTTATTTGGTAATTGTTCATTTTACCATGCAAATTACTATATAATCTATCAAGATTGGTCAAAATTACAATTTCTACAGAAAAATAAAACATTCCAAGGACACAAGCGGGTTATCAATTGATTCGTCGTCGTTTCCATCTGTCGGAGCCCAGCTGCTCTCTTCTCTCTCTGTATCTATACCCGAACTCACATCAGGTTTCAGGACTCTTTCAGGTAAACCCGACCCGGATCGAGACGGTGAGCTTTCCGTCTTCCTCGCCGACGGGCTCCTTCCTATCCCATTTCTGGCACCACCACCTCCTCCTCTGCCAACCACACGATTCGCCGGAGATCTAGATCGAGACGCCGGCACTGGCCTCTGCCGACCGGTGGAATAATACCCAGAACCACGGTTGTTGATTTCGGATACGGATCTAACACGGCCAGGAGACTGTTGTTTGCCTCTCACCGGAGAATTTCTTACCACCCGAAGCTCCCCGGAAATCTGCTGCGGGTTCCTTAACTTTGCCGGCGATCTGTCAGTAACTCTCCGGCGAAGAACCTCGACGTCCTCTTCAAATGTCGTGGTCGAGTTACTTTCGCTCATCGTACTGCAGATCTCGGAGACATTCATATCTTGAAGATTGTTATTCTGTTGATGTTGGATCTTTCTTGGTACATACTTTGTGGGTTCATCTTCGATTTTTGAGAAATGGTTGGCGTTGGGAGTTTCAGAAAGCACTTCTTTCACCGTCTCTTCGTCCACCGGCGGCGGAGCTCTGCTTGATTTTGACGAATGCCGTTGGAATTCAGGAGTCGTCGGAGATTTCTTTGTGCTGACACAACAACCCATTATCAAGAAATCGAAAAAGATTGGAACTTCAATAAATTGGGAGTAGAAATGATACGAGTTGTTGGGTGGTTTTAGTTTTTTACGTGAGACTTTGATGACATAAGAGGTAATGGTTGGTGGTGGATTTAGGATTTTGTTGGAGGTTTACCAGTGATGATACGAAAAGGCGTTATTTGAAACGGGAAAAAGATGGAGAATTTGAGTTGAATTCATTTGGGGGTGGTGATCTGCGGTGGTTTCCGGTGAGCAGATGAAATGAAGTGAGGGTAGTGTGAAAAAGGGGATATGGGAGTCAATGGGAGATGTGTTGAATTTGTAGGAAGAAGGAAAAAGTAAATTCGTCTTTCCAACTAATCCTAATCAAAATTAAAATAGAATTGAATTTTTAATAAATAAATAAAAATATATAAAGTTACAAGACTGAATTTACATTTTCAGTCCCTATGTTTTGGTGTTTTTATAGATTATGTTTGTATTATGAAAAACAAACGATATCTATGTTTTATTATAAAATATTTAACAAAAATTTTAAAAATTATTTTTTATATATGATATACTGTTTATTGATGCATATTATTTAAAGTTTAAGAATATAAGTAAATTGTGCATAAGTACAACTTATTAAAAAATTAAGTTAAGAAAATTACAGCAAAACATAAGAACTTTTAAAAAAATTAATTTGATACTGATATCCATATTTTTTTTTCAAAATTTTATGATATTTTTAAATTTGTATTTTATTCAAAAATAAAAACATTATCGTTTTTCTCAAAAACACATAAAACCATATCGACATAAAAAAGAAATAAAACGAAACATTAAAATCAAGATGTGTCTCAATACATTGCACAAGTACTCTTCTAGTGTGTCATAATAGTTGTACTCTTTTAATGAGATGGGTTTTTCATAAGGCTAAAGAAACCCATCTCGTTAACTTATTCAACGATCCGATTTATTAAAAAATTGTGAATACAAGAAACGCATCTCATTTAAAAATTGTAGCACAAGACAACTTTTTTATGTAATTCATTTTAAATGAAATATTTGAGGAAAATGAAAAAAAAAAATAGTAGTGGAAAATGATGAAGAAAAAAGGAGCAACGGTCAATTAAAAAGTAATAAAGGTGTAGGGTAGAGTTTGAAAATAGTTAGATTTTGTTGTTATTTATTGTAATTTATGCTAATCCTTTATTTGAAATAATTGGGTTGATTCCAGTTAATATGATCATAAATTCAAGATTATTAAAAATTAATTCATTAAACGTGATTATAATATAATAAGCGATGTAATTTGATGCCCAAAAATAATGGTAACTCCTAATTTTTTTTAGGGATGTTTGGGACTGTTTATTTGTAACTTCTTATGTTTTTTATAAAAGCACTTATCAACTTATTATAAGTCAGAATAGTTTAACTTCTTCAAAAGTTTTTTATTATCGGTATAAGTTGTTTATTCAAACACTAAAAAATATTTATTATCAGTGTCACACAATAATAAGTCTATATGTTATTTTTATAAGTAATCTCAAACACCCCATTAATATAGAAAAAGTTTTATAATACCGTAAATAACATATTCTTGCCCTACTTTTATAAGTATTCTTTTTTAAATTTAAAACGATTTAGGTTGCAAAATTTTCAAATAAAGTGTTTCTTATGATCATTAAGTAATATATTAAATACAATTAACAGGTGTTTAAAGACACAACGTATAACGTTCTTTGGTTTAGATGGAGGAATAAAAACGGGATTGAAAATGATAATAATGATTATGGAAATGAATTCTTATTTCTCTCCCTCAATTTAATCTAAAATGAGAATTTGGGTTTGTTGTGATGGGGAATAGAACAATTTATACTATAAAAAATCAAACAGTTTCTTTCATTTTATATTTCATTAATTGCTGTTTAATATTATAACGAAACACTCATTAAATTCAAAGTGTTATGAAATTGAAAATACTTAAATCTCAAGCAGAAATCTCGAAATCAATGATTGAGTCTAGAAATTGGCTAGTAGGCTTCCACCCCCCCCCCCTCCCCTCCCTCCAAATTTCATAAGGGTGCGTTTAGTACATAGACTGGGTGGGATGGAAAATCTGATTTCATGGGACAAAAATTTGATTCCATGGAACAAAACTTTCAATAGTCCCATGTTTAGTATGAAGTTTGTGTTTTCAAGAAAGTAAATTGATAATTACTTCAATAGATTAGATGGATGTTGGTGCTAAAACTATATCTATTTGCTTTTTTTTGAAGTGATAGAATTTGATGAGATTAGCGGGAGGATTTCAAATTAGTAATTAGGCCATTCAAATGGCATATTACCATACAACATTTTAAGGAACTAAAGGATTTAAGTAAAGGCAATGACTTGAAATTTCATCCCCAATCACCAAGATCCTATACAGCATAACAAAATGGATTTTGAGGCTAAATAACCTAAATTTCCAGTTGATCCTTACTGCAATTACTTCCTCTGTTACTCTCTACATACATACATACATACATACATACATACATACATACATACATACATACATACATACATACATACATACATACATACATACATACATANATACATACATACATACATACATACATACATATATAGAGGAGCAATCAAATACAAACCACCCAATTTGTACAAATCGTGCAAACCTCATTCAACCAATCATAATTTTTCATTTTGTTCATTTTTTTGTAATTATGAGAGATTGATTAATCATTTTTATTGTGGAGAGTGTTAATCATGGATATTATCATCTTCGTTATTTTAATTTTAGAGAAATACATGAAACAGTTTCATTAAAATTTATATGAAGCAATTTCATAACCATATATGAAACAACTTCATAAAAAAAATATTATATGAAACAATTTCACAAGATTAAACAATGAAATCGACGGATGAGGGCGGTTTACACGATTTGTAAAAATTGAGTGGTTTGCATTTGATCGCTCCTCTACATATATATATATATATACACACACACACACACACACACATATATATGTATGTTTTGAGACTGTTTTACATCTGCCGATTTTTCATATTTTGAACTGTTTTTTAGTTAGATGCTCCTATGAATTTTGTTTCAATTATTGAATGTATGATGTTACTATGAATTTGACTGTTGTTTGTTTTGTAAATTTTATAGTGAATGATCGGAATCACTTAGTTATACTCGTTAACGTATGGAATATTTACATTCAAATGCTCGTGTATTTGCTTTCCCTTACGATTTGGTTAATTGAATTGAAGAATATAAATAGTGAAAGAGAAACTTTGGACCAAAGAATATTCACTAGGCTTCAACTTAGATCAACCGAAATACAACGAATGACATGCAAAAGTGATGCACATTGCATAAATGAGTTGCGAATGGATAAAAATGTCTTTGCAATTTTGTATGATTTGCTTAAAACTCGTAGTGGATTAATAGATGATTGCAATATGACAATCAAGAAGTCGGTATGTTCATTGAGTATTAGCACACTACACTAAGGATAGAACTTTCCAATTTAGGTTCTATAGGTAGGGGAAATAATAAGTCGGTATGTTCATTAAGTATTGCGTATTATATTACATTTGGAAGACCTGTTGCTTGTCAAACCAACTCCTATATAAGATGATTGTGCGGATTCACAGTGGAAATGGTTTAAGGTACTTACTATAACAATCTTTATGCAATACATAATATAAGGTCTATCTTTTAGCTAAAACCTATTTACTTTTTGTGTATAAGGTTGTCTAGGAGTAATAGATGGAACTTATGTTGAAGTAACTATACCAGAGTCCGATAAACCAAGGTATTGAAAAAGAAAGGGACATATTGCAACCAATGTATTAGGTGTGTGCACTCATGATCTAAATTTTGTATACATTTTAGTCGGTTGGGAAGGTTTAACTACTGACTCTAAAGTTCTACAAGATGCAGTTACTAGACAAAATGGATTGAAAGTTACACCTGGTAATTACTATTTGGCGGATGCAGGATATATCAGTGGTGAAGGTTTTTTGGCACTATATATGGGCGCTAGGCATCATTTACGAAAATAGGCATATGCTAGTCGTACACCTACTAATAAGGAGGAATACTTTAATATGAAGTACTCACATGCTATAAATATTAGCGAAAGGTGTTTTGGCATCATAAAGAAACGTTGGGCTATATTACGAAGTTCTTCTTTCTATCCGATAAGAATCCTTGAGTTAGATGACCATTTCCCTCATTCAAATTGGTTTCTTAACCATTTCTCTACTGGGTTGATCCAAATGTCATTAGTTCCGTAATATATTGTGGACCTAGCTTAAGGCCAAACAAATTGAATTCAACACAAATATGCAATTGCGATTGTCAGGTCCACAATTGCAACGGTAAACAAGTTGAATGTGACCCTTTTTTTTGTCTTTTAGTTAGATCTGCAACATTGCAGACCTGGATATGTAGTGACATTTAAGTCAAAGCAGGAGAGAGTTAGTTAGAAAACCAATTTGGTTGAGGGAGATGGTCATTTGAGCTAATTTCTCATTCCATAATCTATTAATAGAGATGTTCAAAATTGGTAGTATAAGATTATAAATTAATAAATATTAATAACGCAAAAGAATTGTGACTAATTGACATTGTTTGATAACAATAAGATAACTTATTTTCTAGGTACATGTTTGGATGCACATAAACTAACTTATTGGAACGCTAGTTCAAGTCGTTTTGGTAGCTTATTGTTACTTTTTCTAAATATAGCCCTAATTAATATTAATTATTATTTATTACTATTAATTATATTTAGTTAATATATTATTTTCATAATTAATATTTAATATATTTAGTTATCAAAATGTAAATATAACAGTTTTAGCACTGTCTATGTACCATAAAAATTCAAGTTACACTTATTTTCTTTCATAGATAATAAAAATGTGTTAAATAATTTAATTAATTTAATTAATATTTTTTTTAAGACATGATTAATTAATTAGGATATGTTAAG